TGTGTCTCCTGCACGAAAATTATATCCATTCCAAGCCTCTTTATCCAACTAAAAAACTTTCGTCGTTTTGGGACTTTACCTCCTGCGCGCAAACCGTTAATGTTAATTGATGCAATCTTAACCGCCATTAACATAGGCAAAATTACGTATGGATCCGTCTTGGCTTATCGAGTTCTGGATGCTACCCGACTTCTTTCCTTTACGGCTCGTCCGCCCTGCTCGGATGTTACCCTCCCAGAACATACCCGTACCCTCGCCTTCTCCCCAGTTCGAGACCGAACGAGCCGACATCGTCGGTTCGGTCGGGCGGCGCGGCCCTTATACCTTTGGAAAGCTACGTCACACGTTTAAGCCTATCGCGCTATCCTGTGCTACCTCAGCTAGAACTTGTCACGATACGACGGACATGGTGACAAGTTGACAACCGGTATGCCTGACCTTCCTTTGTGTCAGCTTTTTTCGCAAACAAACAAACAAACTTTCCGCACGTAACAAACGAACAAACAATTGGTTCTGGTTACACAGAAATTAGTACAAACACCTCGCACACGGAATAAACGCACTTTCTGGCAGACAAATCACCTAGATTCTAGTCCCTCACCAGACACCAATCGAGAGAGGCCCGACACACTTGCACACGCCATGCACCAACGGCTACTCAGCGTGTAGCGCCTCCGCGGCAGCACTCCCGTCAACCCCCATCACCGCGCCGCGACCGCTCCCCGTCACAACAGTACCTTGGTCTGGAACGGATGGCTCCGGCTGCCGCTCCCGCACCTTCACCGGTTCGGGGTCGGGGCCGACGTGCGGATGGCCGCCGCCCGCGGCCGCCGGCGGCGCTGCAGGGGCCGCAGTTCTCCGATCGCCGCCGACCCCAGCGCCCCGGCCGGCCGGACCGATCGGTCGACCCGCCGGAACGTCCCGAGCTGACGGCCCACCACCGTCCCGTATATACACCGTTCGCCCCACCTCCGCCCCTCCCCGCCGCGCGTCCCGCCGCCGGCCGCGGCTCCGGTCGCGCCTCGGGGCGAGGCAGGGGCGCGTCCAGGATCGGCCGGATCTGCTCCAGGCTCGTCACCCGGCGACTGCTGGAGCTGGTACTCTGCTTGAAGAATGGGTATCCTCTTCTCGTGAAGCACGTATATATGCGTCCTTCTTTCTTGGCGCCCAGGAGCGCGTTCATGATATCGCGATTATGGACGGACAGCGATTCTGTTATGAACAGACGGTGCCCTGCCGTGCGCGTTTTCTGTCTGAAACGGCTGTCGTATATCTGGTCTCGGACTGACCTTCTGACGAACTTGCAGATGACCGTGTTGTCAGCCTGCAGACGGTGGACCACTTGTAGGTCACCGCTCGACAGCTTAAGCCATTCGAAGCTTGAGTTCAAGATATGCCGAGCTTTTTCCTCGATATCTTCATTGATTGTCCTGCGACCGAATTCGTCGCTTTTGAGAATCAGACTGTCCAGCCTGTGGTTTGTGTCCATTGAGTTTATCTGCTCTTTCAGTGACTCGTTTGTTTGTTTGAGTCGCGCTACTTCTGCCTCCATGTCCTTTGCTCGCGACGCGGTCTCAAATGTGTCATGCTCAATGATGTCAAGGCGCTTCTCGAAAGACTGAAGCCTTGTCTCTAGCCGCTCTAGTTTCTGTATTATGGTCGCGTTACCAGCGTCTATGAGCCCCTTGATTTGCGACAACGCCAGCTCGTCTAGTCCGATAGATGCGTGCCGTTCGTGCCCGCTTACCCGCCGTCTCTTCTGACTCACCGACGCGGGTGGGTGTGCCGTCTTCTCGAGGCCCTGAACGCGCTCCGACACGGAGATCCGCCGGCCGCTCCTGACTCCGCCACTGGTCGGATGACGGCCCAGCTCCTCGTCGGCGTCCGTGAAAACGGAGTCCTCTTCGGAGTTTAAAGGCGACGGCATTATGTCCAACGTCGCACTCACAAGCACTGTTTGATTTCGCCTGATCGTCCGCGCCGCGCCGCCCCACCCGCCCGGGGACGCCTACTGCCACATGCGCGGACCGACCTGCCCCGCGCACGGACAGCGCACTGACACACGTCCGCTCCGGCCGGGGTCACCGGCTCGACTGTTTGTTTGTTTATTGTTTGTCTATTTATTTATTGACAAATATTTTTGAGCAGTTAGGGATACAGACACAAAACACAATGATAGCACCTCGCTGGTGCAAATCATTGCTAGATAGATGTTGAAATGTGTTGCCATTGAAGCAAGCATTGAAGAATCTACTGATTTTCCTGGCGGCTCTCGTTTTCAAGTAACTTTTGGTCTTGTAAGATCTCTTGATTGCTCACCGTCTGGCGTCTTCCAAGGTTTTCTGAAAGCTAGTCAAACGTTACCATGGCTGCTCTTGATTGCATGGCGCTTGCTGGTTCTGGGTTCTTAATTGGTGGTTCTTGCGTCTGATCCTGTTGCTTCATGTTCCAGCACATCACATTAAATTTCTAATGGAACAGACACTTCTACCTTTTATTTCATCATCAGTCGACTTGCATTTACCCCTGTGGCCTGCTCGCCCCTTTATTTCTCCACGCTAGAATCTACCAACTATTGAAAAAAGCCTCGGATAAAAAAGCAAGAAAAGTATGTCAAATTAAATAATTGAGACGGTCCTAGAAACCAGAAAAAAATAAAAAAGCCTGTCTATCTCACTTCATAACAAAAACCAGGCAGCAAAACATGCGAAAGAGTCCTTAGCAACGCCCTAGCAACGCATTTGTCTGAAGTGTGCAATATGTGTCACATCTGGAAAATTTAGTTGCGACTTGATTTTTCAACTAGAGTTGGACTATATAAGCTAGGCTTTTATATAAAAATAAGTGTTTGCTTATTGAATTTATAGTAACTGACTGCTTAACTTCGAAATAATGATTTATTACAGTAAAAGCTTGTTTGAGACATATTTGTAAAGAAACAACGGAAAAGCTTTGACTCGTGCGCTATTCTAGTACATTTTTGGTAGAAAACTTCGTCCAACCTTTTGTTTTAGGGCCTTGGGTAGGACGGCCACAGTTAACCCATATCTGATGCCAGAAACGAGTGCGATCCCGCGCTACTGCCACATCAGGCGACCACCAGGGCTTCAGGGAATATCGCAGCTTAGAACATCCGGCGATTCGCGTAGCGTTTGAATATTGACTTACTTTTCATCGACGGGCTCAATCCCCATCACCACCAACAATTTTCTGGGAAGTTAGGATTTCACAGATACCTATTTGAGCAGAATTGCAGAGCTATGCTCATACTTCGGCACTTAAATAGGTAGGTACACATTTTAAGAAAATTGCCATTTTATCAGCATAAATTAGGTCTCAGAAAGAGCAACATGTCGATATAATGAGGACAAATAACTGCAGATGATCGCACAAGAGAGGATCCTTAGCTCCCTAGCAATCATCTAGCAACGTAAGGCAAACAAGACAACTCGTGTTGATATCTGGTACTCAGTTTTGGGAGCACACTAGATTGTCACCATATTGGGCTTCATACTGAATTTTGCATACCAGAATGGATGTTTCGAACTAATATTATTTTTTCGCGAAATTTATCATTGTTTCCTTACTATTTTTCGTAAAACCGAGACATACAAGCTTCATGATATCAAAAATAATATTCTGATAATAAAAACCAACGTATAAAACAAGATACCTAATTGTTGAGATTATGCCTACTAAACTTGGTCCTACCCCCATAATTCAATATACCCTGGCCAAACGCTGAACTTGCCAAAGCTCATGCGAGGGCTTCGATAATGTACAAGGAGCCAAACACCTTTAAAAAAACGAACTTAAGTATCAATAATTTAGCTTAGTTTTTCAGTAGGTATGTATGTACATATTCGACATTGTACACCAAAACAAATAGCACCACGGTGTTTCTGAGCTCGAACTGCATCTTGTAGACACCTTTGTTATGGAAAATGTTCAACTTTTAAAATTTTACCTCTTTTGTCCTGAAAGTGACCTCAGCTATATTTAGCTGGAAATGGCTTTAGATGACATATGCGACACTCATTACAAAATATACGGCCGAAATGGATCATAAAACATGTGTCATGTGACCGATGCATTTTGTAAAATTTCCATGACCTAGGATGGCATATCCTTGACTTGAAAAATTCGGATTGCAAGTTTACTAGTTACCCTCAGGGGTATCTTATGCATACATTTACGAGCGTGTGATTAAAAAATGAGCCTGATCTGACCTGTTAGCCGGCTGCCAAAGCCCAAATGTGAACAAGCCAAAATGTTGATACTTTTACTTTGGCCTGACCTTTGACTTCATCGGTGACCTCGAGGTCAATAAAGTTCGGTTTTTGCTAGACAGTTTTTCCGGGGTTATGAAATTCCGTTTGAGTTTGGACAATCGTTTCAGTACTTTCGGAGATAGAAGGGGGTTCTGTGGAGCTCCCCTCTCCCCCCCCCCCCCCCACCGTCACCCGCGTTATGGAAAATACCCCAGTCATGCGCGGGTTAAGAATTGGCAGTCCAGCAGCTTGTAGGTAATTGTTGTGTTTGTATATAGCCCCCCGAGGCCCCGTACTTGGACCGCCTCTGCGACCCCACTGTGCCAGGTGACTGTGGGCGCTCCTGCCGGCGCCAGCTGACCGTGCGCGCCATTGACCTATATAGTAACCTATAGAGGTCAATGGTTACTATAGAGGTCAATGGTGCGCGCCAAGCGGCGTGACTGGCGCACGGGTCGTGGGCTGGCGCTCGCCATACTTGTTTACGTTTCGGGTATCTTTTTCGGCTTAACGTATCGCAGATAATAAATCGCTTTAATCCGTTTATATGCTTCCATTTCGAACCGATAAACAACTTAACAGTAATTTGCTTTGACACTTGCACACACAGCAACAAAAATGCAATTATTTTATGCTCAACGGGGAGAGTGTGCTGTGTGAATAGATATATCGAGCCTTGTGATCAGCTTCGGTTGTGCGCGGCCGTGACGCCACGAATCCACCGTCCAGGAACCAGCGCGAGGTGTCCACCTACCGCGTGAAGAAGCTGTCGGCCAGCTTCTGGAGGGCGCGCGAGGACACGTCGGCCACCATTAGCCACCTGGACGTGGCCGCGCTCTCTCGAGCACCGTGAGTGGCGCGTCGCGGGCCCTCTGCTGCATCTCTGCGGCCGTTGGCCGGCTTCGCAGTAGGTTGTAATGTACCATATAGCAAGTATGTACAGCCCACCGCTAAAGTAATGTAGGGTTTTACCAATCTCAACGGTTGGCTTTGACTGGCGATTGTTTAATGCGGAGTGATCGAAAAGAAGATGTCAATAGCTAAAGTTGCAGCTGCAAGGGTGACGATGCATATTAGCTACATTCAAAGTTTCATTGTAGTCTGGCTAATCGTTTCTAAGCTTCAGAAGCAGAACATACCCATGACTGAAACCCCACATTACTTCTGCTGTGGACTGTACCTTGGGGTTCCAGATAGTGTATCAGTAGGGACTTACCTCTCGTTCAGCGACCACAGTGGTGGTGACCCCGGCTGGAGCGGCAGCGGCTGTGGCCGGCCTCTGGTGGCCGGCTGACTGACGGTGCCCGCTGCCGGCGCCAGGTCGAGCGCGGCACCCTCCCGGTCGCGGCTGGCCATCGCCGCCGACCCGGACGCCAACCGGTTCGAACAGATGAGCGCTGCGGCGCGCCGGCAGACCAGGAAGAGCGTCGGAGTGCGCGCCTACCGCGCCCTGCTCCGGCTCGAGGAGAAGCGAACCAAGCGGCGCCGGCGTCGAACACAGGTGCGTAACCTCTGCCGGGGACATCCCACCTCCGAGACCGGCGGGGAGCGCCGCGGCCAGCCAGCGTCACACATCTGACCACTGGCGGCGGCAAACGGGAAAAAATACCCTTAGCACGTATGGAGAGGGCTCAGACACACAACACTCTAAGCTCAAAGACCCATGTCATATAGGAGGAAACCGGCAAATATGTCCCAGGAAGACATTACGCCTAATTATCATATTGGAAAAGTTGTTGTTCCACTGCAATGCAACCTGAACCTTTGCAGTGATATAAAACCAATGCAAATCAATAAAACCAATATATCATATAACCTTCGCCCCAGTGGGGGGGGGGGGCATATGTTACCACCCTGTCGCATTTTTTGCGTGTGAATAAAAAACCGCGGCGCGTAGCGCCGCGCCACTTGGAGAGCACCTTTCTGTACATCAATTTTGGACAATGTACGAAGTTTTTAACCCCAGGTCATGTCAGATCAGGTTACTAGGTCAAGTAAAGTGACCAAGCCTAAACAAGTTTGCAATCATGTCCAGCCTGCAGTGTTTGTCAGAAGGGTTTTAATCTTGGTGGATTGCATGATGTTATGGGCGCCTATAATTTGTATATCTCGGATTTTTTATATCCGTGACCTAAGGTCAGGCCAGTGGCGTGACCTTACCATTATAAGTCAATGGAGAAAAATGAAAATGCCTCTAGATCCGTGTGTACGCATAGGAACAGTCCAAATATTTCAGAATCATAATGATTTGGACCACCCGTGACGAACAATGTGTCTTTTTAGCTGATAGCCTCTAGAAAGGTCTCCGAGGTCATTTGAGGCTACAATCATATTTCTGCCAATAACTCTCGATTGGAAAGAGATAGGACGATGGGGATGGCCTCATTGTGTTTGTCTTGTTGAGACGCATCGACTGACGTGACCTTTTCCGGTCAGGTCATGATTACAGTTTATTCGACGCGTCTCGGCAAGAGGAACACGATTCTGGCAATAAAAATATCGTGGCTTTTTTAGTCAAAAGTTATTGTCCAAAAACACTTTTCGTAAAAACAACTTTTTTTTTAGTTTTCCCCTCTGGAGGCTTAACCGTTGACGTGAGGTCAATTTTGATGATGACCTTATCAAAAGAAGAGTTCAGTGTTGATTGCTTTTCCACGCGCGTTTTTCTAGCTATCATGTTCCTGAGATAAATGCATGTTTTCTGAAAAATATAATGACATTTGGCAAATTTTGAGCTTTGATCACCCCCAGTGACCCCAATATTGCTCTAAGATGAAAAATGACCGAAATACTTTCAAACGTACGCATTGAGAGCTATCGACTGCTTTTTGCCGCGTCTTTCTAGCCCTCTTAGTTTTTGAGTTAGAGTTGGGTGGTAGCATATCCCCCCCCCCACTAGGGCGAAATTGGCTGAGACCGCCACTGGGGCGCTGGATAATATGATAACATTGATATGGCTTAGGTGTTCAGTGTAGGTCACAAGACAATGAAGACCCCAGTCTGGTCCAGCCCGTTGCGTGCTGAACTTCATCACTCTGTGTCCGGGATACAGTAGAGACGGTTGGCACAGTGGTCAGATTTGTTTTCCCTGGGTGTTGGCGTTTCAACGCCACCCCAGCAATATGTGTCTTTTATTTCATGGTCCCTTTTGTCTGGGTTAGCGGTCATTGTTAGTTTCTACAATTCCATGATTGGGATAAGCATTTCTTTTTGTTCTCCATGGTATGGAGATTATTACGAGCGAGCGAAGCGAGCGAACTCTAAGCGCAGCTATCAATGGAATATATTGTATTGTATTTGTATTTACATTTAAGAGCGATCCACATACAAAGTGCGTGGCGATTACTGCTCAGAATCCGTATCCGCGGTTGCTAATCTAATCATTCAAAACAGTTGCACATTCACGCACGTCAAAACAAGGACAAAACACTCTCAGGACAGCCTCATCGCTTTTACCCACCCCCATCCTATTGGTCAATATCAATATATCTATATTGACCTATATATATATATATATATATATATATATATATATATATATATATATATATATATATATATATATATATATATATCTATATCTATATCTATATATCTATATATATCTATATCTATATACATCTATATATCTATATAGAGTTCGGCTGCGCGCGTCGCCCCGTGCGGACGCGCCGCCAGTGGGCTCTCCTGCCCCGTCTCTCCCCACTGCCCAACGTCCGTGTGATTGGGAGTACCTGTGAGTGTAACCGTGGTGATGCCTGAAGTGGATCATTGAGTGCAGTTCTAATGCGTCTCCGACAACTACAACAGTGTCGATTAGGGTGTGTCATTTTGGGCACTTTTTTCGCAAAACATGGTGCTCCACTGATTTTATCGTGCCCCAGACACGTAGAAACCGTGTGGCATTTTTTATTTCCCCCAAATAGTAACACCCATGCGGCGCCGACCGCCGAAACTTTGGCCTATCTCTCAGCATTAGCGACCTCAGCGCCCCTAGCGGCAATGTTTTGAACTAACACGCTCGCTATATGCTTTGTGAGCTTACGATCATCATTAAATGCATTTTACAGAACTGAAGCCTTGCTGTTGGCTTGTCTGGCACTCAGAATGTTGATGAAAATGTGATGTTATGCATCTTAAAGCACGAAATAGTCCTGTGTTAATGTATATTGTATAGTACTACCCCCGATCCTGGTCCTGGTCTGACGGAATACGTACGAGCACATGTTTATAGTGCCTTCTATTAGGTGTCACGTGTTTTTTTGTGGCGTCTTTCACTGCATAGACCCGGGGAACAGGGGGGGGGGGCAGCGGGGGCGCTTACACCCCCCCCCCCTCCAACTTGAGAGCCGAGTGGGCGCCGCCCCCTCAACATTGATGCAACGATGAAGAGATCTCTGCTCCCAGTCCCTTTTATGGACCTACATGTCTGTTTTTATATAAATATCAGCACAAGGTATTTCTCTTGCATGTGAATGGTTTCTGCTGATTGAGCATCGATTTAAGAACACCTGCTATTGTCATCCCACTTTGATTTTATCTGAACTTGATCATAACTTTGGTAGGCCAGATTTTATACTGGACCATTTTGGTTCCGGATGGTATTTGATTTGGCGTGATGAGAACATTATGACGTACAACGGTGGTTAAGTCGTTGATTGATACAGGTTTACTCGCTCCGGTGGGAGGCAGTAGTGGCGGAACACCTTCAATTAAGTGGAGGGGGGGGGGGGGGGACACTGCCGACTTTTGGTCCCGTTCTTTCCATGCAACGCCCATAGGGCTAATGTTAAAATGCCCAAATCAGAGGGGGCACGGTGCCCCGGTGCCCTCCCCGTTCCGCCGCCTATGGTGGGAGGGCGGCGTGTGGGACTCAGAAAGAGACTAATGGCTTGTGTTGTGCCTTTGGTAGGACCCTCAGTATCACCGATGCAGGGCCTTCAGAGCCTCCAATTAGGGGCCTTTAGAGGCACTGGTGTGGGGTCCTCACAGACGCCCGTGTGGCCCCTCAGAGGTGCTAGTGTGAAGCCCTCATAAGCGCCGGTGAGGGTCCTTACAGAATACAGACGCCGTTGTGGACCCTCAGAGACACTGGTGTGGGTCCGTTACATGTGGGTGTGTGGCCCTTAGAGCTGCTGGTGCGAACCCTTTAAAAGTCGGCAGGGGACCCTCAACGACCGGGGAGGGGGACCTCAGACCGGCAAGGGGCCCACAGAGGCCGGCGGCATTTTCAGAAGCCCTGTGGGGTCCTTAGATACCGACAAGGTACTCTGAGACGCCATTGCGGCCCTCAGTCTCCGGTGTAGGGCCCTCAGAGTTGCAGGTAGGTGGCCGTCAGATATGCTTTTGCGGAACCCTCACAGGCGCAGGTGTGGGTACCTCAGAGCCACCAATATAGGGTTGCATAAATGGTGTGGCACTGGCGTGGGGGACCCTCAGTGGTGTCCTTATGGGCCCTTAGAACCACTGGTGTGGGGCTCTCAGAGGTGCCGGTTGTGAACCCTCAGAGGCACTGCTGGGGGCCCTCACGGTCTCCGTTATGGGATCCTCAGAAGCCGGCGTAGACCCTGACGGAGATCTTAGTGTGGCTACTTAGGGGTCCATGAGGTGCTCTTACGAGACCTGTGAGGTCTTTCCCAGTCGAGATATAGTCAGCGTGGTCCCTCAGAGGTCAGTTGGTGCCGCAGGGCCCTTTGTGGCCGGGTGGGCTCTCAGAAGCACCAGTGAGCCGTGAGGACCCTCAGTCTCACAGTCGTCGTAATGGGGCCGTCAGAGACATTGGTGTGAGGTCATTACTGATTGCAGGTTGGTGTAAGGCCCTAGATATGGCCCCTCTTGGGCCGGCAAGGACTCTCAGAGGCACGCTAGCGGCCATAAGAGGCCGGTAAAGGGCCCTCAGAGGCCGCCAGTAGCCTTCAGAAGCCGGCGTGTAACCCTCATGGACAATTTAGTGAGGCTTCTTTGGACTCACGAGGTGCTGTTACGAGCCCTATTCTTTCTGAATCGAAATATGGCCAGCATGGACCCTGAGCGGTAAACTGGTGCCACAGAGCCCCTCTGACCCGAGGGGTCCTCTGAATGCGATAGGGGGGGGGACTGGAGGGCACGTGCCTCCTGGGACCCCTGACTACGCTACTATTTCATATGCGTCATGTCAGGTATTTTGGGCTTGCACCCCAACTTGAAAAATGTTCCTGGGCCCCTGTGACAATACATTGTATTTATTATAGGTATTCGTCATTAGCTTGCACTCTCTGCAATCTGCCCATACCATTATTTGTCCCTAGACGCGCTTACAGAGAGCAGGGATAAGCCCATACAGTCAGCGGCCTGTTAGTTTCGCAAACAGCCGCTAGTGGCGCTAGGGTCGCCTATGTTGTGAGATAGGGCAAACTTCTCTCGCTCGGCGCCGCCTGGGGGTTAAAATTTGCGGGAAATTAACAATGCCACGCCCTTTCCACATGAGTGGAGCACAATAAAATCGATGGAGCACCTTGCATT